GGTAACTCTAAATCTAACTATTTTTTTGAAAATAGACAAATCAAAATAGATAGATTTCCAGAAAATAGTTTGCAAAAAATCTATCTATTTTGTAGTTTTTAAATAGTCTAAAATAGTTATCTAAAAAAATATCTTATATATAAAAATCTAGGAAATAGTCAAAATCCTAGAATAGATAGGATTTTGTCTAATTCGGTCTATTGGGTAAGAACAATTTTTCCAACACGAAAACGGCATCCCTCGTCCACGAACATCAAAAATTGATAGGACTCCTTAGTTTGTGGGTGTTCCCAGTGCCCAATATCCCCTGACACAGACGCCCATTTTGGGGGGTGAGGCTCCAAGGTGGCTAACGGCCGTGGCTTCGGTCTACCCCGTTCCTTACAAACTGAACACTCAAAACGTTCGGCTTCCCTGAGCACATCCTCTGACACTCCCCTGCGTCGCAGGGCTTGCACCAGGTGTCTGGTTGGCCCGTGGCCAGTGGCAGCATGCAAGAGGTACAGTCGTTTTCTTATTTCTTCAATAGTCAAACCCTGACCCCTTTTTTGGTTATCTTCCCCAACCAGAACTTCGTGGTTCCCCTTACTGTCACACTTCACATGATTGGTTCCCCTGATTCTTTCATGCTCATCATGAACACATGAACCGCAAACAAAACCATGTTGAGAATCATGGATGTGGTGACAACTGCAACTGATCCCATTACCAAAAGTTTCCCCAATTTGGTGGTCTCCCACAAACTCCCTTTTGAGGTCTTCATCTTCCGCTCCATGAATCAACGCATCACAGACCCTTCGGGCAAATTCGGGGGTGTAATAGGCAGTTTTGTTGGTAAGGGAACCCTCGCACTTCACATGTTTCTGGTGAGGCCCACAACTACATGGCATGTTCATCCTTTTTGCCAACAAAGCATGAGTGGTCATGAGTTTCCAGCCTTTTGAAATTGGATTTTTCTCATCATCAACAAGACCAACACGACAACCCCGTACCACAGCAAACCATGGATTGTGTTTCTTCACCAGTTCCTGCATCATTGGAAGCCTCCATGCCTGACATGATTGTGACCATTCCCAAGTGACATGTATACCATGCTGAATACAGTACGTATATATGACACTGCAACCGACATACTGTTTCATGGCAGCTTTGCGCTTCTCAGAAAGGGCCTCCTTCTGAGCTTCACTTCTCTGATTGATGTTTTGCATCACTGAAAAAGGTCCACAAACCGGAGAAAGCCAAACATGTTTTGGTTTATAATGGTCAATATCTTGAATGACTTTGTGAATCCCCTGGTTGGTTCCTAAATCATACTCATTGAAAAGTGAGCAGCGTCGGGCCGCACCCTCGTCACCTTTCTTTTGTTGCATGGTGCGAGACAGCACGCTGTCGGCCGAACATGCCACTTCCAGCAGCTCTATGCGCTGGTGTGATAGCAGGGCCTCAAAGGCATTTGAAATCAATCTGTCACTGCAATGGGACAAGTGTCTTACTTTTTGCTCAGGTAAGGCTTCCCATGAGCCCCTCCAGAGCTCACTGTCGACCTGCATTCCCGCCTGTGACAAATTAAAGTTTTCTACACTCTCAGCTGAAGCTACTGTGGGATCGGCACAAAAGAACCTGTTGATGACTCTGTCATCTCGGAGACACTGGATGCTTCGACCTTCTTGTGAGGCCTCTCGGCTTTCAGATTGTCCACGTCCTCCTTGAGGGCGTGCATCATCTGCATCATCTGCATCATCATGGTCTCGGTCTTGCCATTCGAGCCGCTGGCCGGCGTCGATGTGTTCTTGTAGCCGCTGGAGGTCTGCTTGTAGGTCGGCATCGGATGCTGTGCCTCTGGGCTCTGGAGCCAATTGGCCAGACGGGCCAGGCGGTAGTCGCATTCCCCCTCGGTGGCGGTCTTCACGACCCAGCTGGCATACTGTGGGTGTTGGGCTAGAAGCTCGTGGTACTGCAGACTGCAGTGTTCCCCGAACCCCACAGGATCCTCCGGAGAGGCGGCTGTGGTCTGGTAGATCTTCTTGGTGCCCAAGCGCTGCAGCTCCTGAATGGTCTCGGTGCCGCGGGTCTTCACCATGAGCTTGTTGTTCACGTAGTCCACCAGGTCGGCCTTCTTCTTGCTGGCCTTGTTCAGTTCGATCATGGCATGGCGCATCGGTGGCCGTACCTTCCCTTTCTGGGTGACCATCCCGTTGGCTTCCTTGAGTTCCAAGAGGCGACTCTCGATCTCCATGATGCTCCACTGCTTTGGAGCTGTTTCGCCAAAGGTCATCAGGAGCTCTTCCACCAATTCCTTTCTGGTGGCACGAGGCATGGCTCTTGTTCACTGACTCGTTGGGGATCTCGTCTAGCTTGTGCTGGAGAGCTGCAGGAGGAGGTTGTTCTGGCTCTGTACACTGACTGCTGTCTGAGATTTTTCCAACATGTCCATGGAAACCCTGGGAAAGTTTTTCCTCATCAACAACCACATGATCATGAACAACACACCCAACATCATCATGAATGCTAGGATCACCAACCATGTTCAAGGGGTTGTGAAAAGTGCCTGAAACATCGCTACTGACCTTCCTTTCCATCTCAGGCGCACGGAAAGAAAGGAGTTGTCCCTACAGGAAAGCATTCAAGCTCGGCACTGGCTGCGCAGTGCTCTGAGCATCACTGTACCAATCCTGAGTCATGGGCAGCAGCTGATGGCCAGTGGCCGAACGTTCCATCTTGATGATCTTGGACGGGTTGATCTTGCGGAAGACGACCATGTCCTCAGAGAAGTCGATGATTGCTCCCAAGGCCCGTAAGGACTCAATGGAGAACAGCACAGGTCCTGCTCCCGCATCCAACGCATGTACTTGTACTTGTCCAGGTCTACCATCTGCTTGAACCTCGAGTGAGGCTGTGGACACGCACTGGTTCTTTGATGAATTTCCAAAACCAAACGTAGGCTTGTTCTCCAAGTCAAGGTCGGCCAAACGAGAAGTCCCATGCTTGTACTTGTTGAGGGCAATGATCTTCTCGAGGGCCACCACGCTACCAAGGGTCTTTGTGGCCCCTCCATCAACGACAGCCTTGCCTTGTTCGACGGCCATCTGAGTGGAGATAGGCCCTATGCTGTTGGTGTCGGCGACATCAAAGAAGGCCTCTGGGCAAGCATCGGAGAACCCAGCATCCAGGTAGTTCACCTCGAGGTCGTCCGGGACATAGGGCTCCACAATCTCATGGTCCTTGGTGATCTGGTCTTGTGCAAAACAGATAAAAGGTGCAGCCTGCTCTTCGGCTGAAGAAGCTGTCGTTGTTGCCATTGCCTTTGGACATGATGAAGTCTTGTGAGGACCACCACATCGGAAGCACTTTTGATCTGTGCCAGAAGCTACAGCCGAAGTGCTTCCAGAGGGCTTGAAGGTGGTGCGGTAGTACTTCCGGGACATCCTCACCTGATGTTGTTTCTGTCTGGCCTCTTTCAAGGTGCGACGCCCGCGCTCCATCATGGCTAGGGCTTCTTGAGCCACATCTTCGGCTTCACCCAGGAGTGCGAGGCCCTCGTCATTGAAGTTGCGGTGAGCCTGGGCAACCCAGGCCGTGTCATAGTCCTCAGACTCGGCCTCTTCATTCTCATCCACCCACCAGCTGGAGTGACGATTGGCTGCATCTCGGCGACGCAGGTCCTCATCAGTCCACTGGCTGCGTAGCTCCTGTGCCACTCGGGTCATAGTGAAGTCGCCCTTCAGGGCTGCCACGATCATGTTGCGCTCGTTGGTGTCCAGGCCAGAATCAAACAAGAGGTACCAGCCCTGAACATACTCTGGTAGTAGTTCAGGGGCTTCCACATTCCAGTCGGCATTCTCGGAAGGTGTCCAAGAGGTACTCCACCAGTCATTTGACCACCAGTCCGGATAACTCCAGGAATCTCCTGAAGGACCTGGACCAGTGGAGCTTCGCTCCTCAATGGCATCCTCGGTGGCCTCAGCTTGATCATCAGGTCGAGCAAGCGCTTCCCGGTCATCCTGAATCTCCTCAGCATTCAGGTTCTGGCTGCCAGCCAGGGAGGGTGTTCTCCTGTAGTTGGCCCAAGGGTCGATGGACCCCAGACGGCTATAGCCGCCGTAGCTCTTCTCCCACGCTGGCTTCTTTTTCTCATAGTGCGACATCACCCTGTGGAGTCCTTGTCGAGCTCTTGCATACAGTTCTGACTTTCTAGTGACGTACTCATTCATGGTCTCTCCCTTCTTGCGCCTGGACTGCCGGAAGTAACGGCTCAAATGATCCGTCAGTTCAGGCATCTGTGGAAGGCCCAAGTTTGACCTCAGGTACGTCAGAAGCCGCTGCACGCCTCCATTGAAGGAGAGCCATTCGGGATGCTTGCCCACAGTGAACCTGCGAGCAGTGCCCGTCAGCTCTGTGAGGAGCCTCGGGCCGCACAAGTAGCGCTTGTGCATTGCTATGGATTGCTCCCACAGCAAAGCGCTCTCTTCAAACTCCTGATATGTTCCGGCATCTCCATCCCAAATGGGAACTCCTTCTCGCGTCTTCTCTATCCTTTTCTGCTTCTCCGCCATGTTGTTCCTCCTATGGCTCTCGCAGTAGGAGGCTGTAGGTCCCTGGTCTCACGCCCGCCCGTAGGCAGGCTCCGCTACCGTGCAAGCGGTAGAAGTGCTCAAGTAGGATATGAAGAGTCACTGGAATCGATTGGACAAGGAGGGGTGATCAACGCCTCATGAAACTCGCTCCGCGGCTCTTTTCAGCCAATACTTCACGGAATAGGCATGTCAACGCCTATGAGTGCTGTGGTAAAAACAGCACTATATATATACTATATATAAATATATACTATATATATATACTATATATAAATATATACTATATATATATATACTATATATATATATACTCTATATATATATATTTATGGCCTATAAATAGTTTGAATACAAATTTGGATATTTGACTTGACCCTATCTACAAAAAAAACCTGACCCCAGGTCCGCAGATCTGGGCAGCCACGCTCATCACGGACGCCCACACTTGCTGCAGCTCCAAGGGGCTTGACTTTGGCACCTCTCATGAGCCATCCATCCCAGACAACCCAAAGAGGGGGTTGAAAGATTGCTGTCCACAAAAAACGATTAAAAACATGTCTTAGTTTCAGGGTCTATGCGGTCTATGTTAGTTTGGTGGAGCGGGTATATACATTCTATTCATTAAATATCATTAAATCATATGAAAGTCAAAAGTCGATTGGTGATCGTCATCCCGAACAGAATTGAACATAACAAATATACTTGAAACCACCAATCTGTAGCTCCCCAAATACTCTGAAAAGGTGCTTGGACCCTACTAGCCAACCAAGATACACTCTCTGACGCTCTTTGAAGCGGCAGGGTACGAACCCGGATCAAAGAATGGGAACTTAAAGTGAAGGGTAGAGATTTCTGGGAATCCAATGGGAATTTAATGGGAATTTAATGGGAATTTCATAATCCCAATAAAATCCAACTTCTACATTCGGCCACAGAGTTCACCGTGGGATGATCTCTGACCCTTTCGAAATGGATGGAAATGGTTGGGAATACATTCCAACATCTCCTAGTTAGATGCAATTTAAGCCGCAGAAGGTCCCGAAGCCAAAAAAAACATGATGCAATCATATACAGTCCATGCATAATCCATGACGTTAACCTATCTCCAGGGTTCCAGCTTGTTGGTCTCCGGGGGTTATTTTACCGTCAGCAACGCAGAACGGACCGAAATGACCAAGGTCTCAGGCTCTCCTCTCATTGCTACCCGGAAAGTTGAATCTTGAGGATATGACATCTCCAGTTTTTTGGCTTGCAGGGTATATACATATATATATAATTATATACATTGTAATATGTATTCAATATGTATTTAATATGTATTTAACATGTATTTTCATATGTCTTTATATAATATGTAAATGCATGTGCTTCATACCCAAGCATTTTGGAGCTTATTCGGAGGCCACCATTTCTAGCTCAAAATGAATCAGGTACTCGGATTCCGCCGTCGCGCAGGTCTTCTTTCCACTGATCAGTTGGCATTGGCTACTAGCTATCACTGGGATGTGCACGAACCCCGCGTTGCTTCAAATCAACTGGACCCAAAATTGAAATTTTAAGTGTCTGTTCAACTCTGTTCTTTTGGGGTACTCACTGAAGAACTAAGATTCACCCAATGGTGGATCCAGTACATAGTACTGCTTGTCTCGTAACTAGGCTCTTGACTTTCAGAGCCCGAAATCTATGCTGGAGGTTTCCAACAATTTCAACACATCCAAACTATCCAAACATTGGTAAGTTTGGGTGATGTGATCATGTATCATTCAAAATAAGGCTTCCATGTGATAGCATTACACAAACACTTTCTGCATTTGCTGCAACTTTTTTTGGGCAAAGCCTTGGGATCGTGGCGTCATCAGCAAAGGTGCTGCATGATCACGGTGTCTGGAAGTGACATGAGTTTAGGCTGGTAATTGCAAAAGTTAAAGGACATCAGGAAATGTATAACATTGTATAACCATTGTATAACCTGTTGGGTTCAACCCACCTGAAAATCCTGTTCAAGTCCCTTCTCATTCAAGGCATGAGTGGAAAAAGGATCAATTCTTGAAACATCTTGAAACATCTTGAAACTACCATTGTCTTTCTCCACAGTGCATCGTAAATTCTCCAGATCCCGCATGGGTCGCATCGAGCTTGGCGGCCAAATGCTACCATCAAACAGCACCGTTCGCCGTCAGCTGGAGCTACACATTTCCTGGTGGTTTGAACCATTGAATATCAGTCATAGATGAAGTTTCCATTGAAATCATTAAAACCTCCATTGTTATTATTGATATTATTATTACTGTACTATATTATTACTAGTTATCTATTATTATTGTCATTATTATTATCATTATTATTATTACTAGTATTTATTTTTATTATTGCTATATTATTATTACTTATTTATCATTATTATTAATATTACTATTATATATCTTTATTATTAATAATATTACTATTATATTATTGATATTACTATTATTCTATATATATATATTACTGTAGGATGTTCAATTGCCGTGTTTGATGTTTATCATGCCAGGATGGAAAAACACACACGAATTGAAACCACCAGCCAAATCTGTCATGTTTTGTGCCGGGTGGGCAGCATATTGTACAAGAAAAGGTGTGGTCAACCCAAGCACTGATCACAGTGCTACAACCCACCATTAGATCGCAGAGTTCGGCTGGCCCAGCCCTGTGATGATGAGCCCCTGCCAGTTACATGCAAATTGCAAATTGAATTCAAGTTAACAATGGTTTTGGATAGGTAGACCCCCCATTTTATACGTTTGTCTCCTACCAATCCATCGTTGATTTTGCTTGTCCCTTGAAACTCTACCGCATCAGGGACACCCGGGTCACAGCCGCAGTTCATTCTATGTACATTGACACGTCGTCCTAGTCCTAATCGAATCGTCACCAAAAGCACCAAGCGCCGGCCAAGAGGCCAATGGCAGCACCAAGTGAATGCTCGATCAACTCCTGCTGAATGAATTGGATTCTGATTTGGGGAATATCTAGGGATTTCAGGAGGAGGGTCGGAGTTGAAACGAAAAAAAAAGGCAACAAACATGGAGGGTTAAAACCCTCAAACACGGTGATAGAAAATGGCAGATTCATGTAGAGCCGATGTTTCCGGATTGATTTCCGGGCCAAATCTTGCAGGAAACCCGAGATTTTTTGCGGGCAGTCAATTAACTGAATGGATTGGCCTATTCGTTTGAACGATATATTCTTCGATACCTGAAAAACTGAATAAATGCATGGAAACGGTTGGAACTGCAAAATGGCTTTCGTTGGCCAAGGGTCTTCTTGGGTTTGTTTGGCAACAGACTCATGTTGGATGTTTTCCCAGGCTTAAGTATCATTTATGCTACTGTTACTGTGAAGTCGCATGAAGTCGCTGTGATTGTCCAGACTTGTGTCGGTTTGCAACCCCAAACCTTGTAACAACAACTATTGAAGCAAGGTTCTCTTGCCAGGTTCTCCAAGGATCATCCGGTAGTCAGGTAGTACATGGCAGTTGGAAATCCACTATATAAATGAAAATTCAATGGAGCTCCTGATCGGAACATCAACTACAAATATCTACAAATGGGAGATTTTCATATATTTTCTATTGCCAGGTTGATTACCAGAGGGTACCCAGTTAATTTGCCCTGCGCCGGGCTGTCCTCTTTCTCCCAGAGCTTTTCGGAGAAGACTTGCATCGAAGGGAGGCTCCAACTTGGAAAGCTGGGCTCCTAGGTGCTGCGGAGATTGGGGGGTTACCCGTTTACCCAACTACCCTCTGGTAAACTAACATAGCTATTGAAAATGGCCATTTATAGTGAGTTTTCCCATTAAAAATGGTGATTTTCCATAGTTATGTTAATTTACCAGAGGGTATATGAACTGCATGTGCATGTATGTGAACTTATGTATAGTTCATGTAGTATTCATATACAGTGTGGAACCCCATACCTCGACTGAATTTTGGACCCATTGGCTTCGTCAAAAGGGTTTGCAACCTGGGCACTTAGCTCTAGGAATTGCGGCCATACCAAAATCTGGGAGTCCCTGTACCAAGCTCTATCCCCGGCCGTGCCAAAGTCTTGTTGTTTCTTCTTGCTAAAGGCTCCAATGTTTTTTGTCGCTGAAATCTAAGCTTTCGCTTGTGATTTCATGTTGCTTCTTCAGGTGCAATATCCTATGATATGTTTTACTCCTTGTGTATTTTCAGATATTGCTATGGAATCTAAAACCCTGGAACCCCCTGGTTGCCAGGTCAAAATGGCTCGGTGTAGAAATCATCCAGAACCAAATTCACGACTTTTGCCACCCATATCCCCATTTACCTGGGAATCATCATTGCTATATATTGGATCCTATTGGCCTAGACCACCATGCATTTCTTGTTGGTTAAATCCACTTCAATCCCCATTTTGTGTTGGTACTTGAACCAGTAAAATCCAAATTTGCGCTTGTAGAATCATAATTAAACTGTTTCAGAATCGTTTTTTGGTCAAATCAGCAAAACCGCCATTTCTTGTTGGATAAATCCCAACTTAAGGTCAAAAATTCAACTTGTGTGTTGGCCAAATCAGTAGAATCCCCCAATTTTTGAAAGTTTTTGGCCAACTCAGTTGTTTCGCCTGTTTCCCCGTCCTCTCCATTGCAGTCGGGCGCCAAGGTCCGCGAGCCGCCCAGAAATGCAAGGCCACAGGGCCAGGGAGTGGCGTTGCAATGCGTGGCCTTCCTTGGGGGTCAGGAGACCCAGCTTGGTTCATAAGGATTCCCAAAATGGATAGTGATAACTCATGATAATTCCTAATGTACTGGGTAGTATAATCCCCTATAATCATCGACCAACAGGCACCAACAGGGGTTCTGAACACTGCGAAAATGTGGGTATCTGGGATTGAAGATGATGACAACTGGGGATATCACCAAATGATTGACGAGCAAATGACAAGTGAGAAACTGGATGACCAGCCATCATCATCATCATCAAATACATAGGAGGTGGGATGATGAAAGCGAGGGTATCACCCAGCTGGTGAGGTGATGGCAACCAGATGGAAACAGCCACCAAACCCATCTGGAAGAAAAGTAGGTCGTCATTTCTTCAAAGGGAATCCGCTTGATCCTGGCTGTGAAATGCAAGATAAATGACATGATAAGGGTAACAACAAGACAATCTGTGGACTAAATCCATCGATTTCTGAAGCAACCCCCAATTGTTGATGCATTTCCTTGATGAGATCCTCATCGTTTCCATTGCGAATCAAAGCATCTTCCAGCTGGAGCCCATGAGATGCGTGTCACACAGCGACAGGAATTCATCGAGGAAAACCGCATCCTTCGTTGTCGCAGATCGGTGCCAGGATGCCTCAGTAAGATAAAAACATGAGGTTCTGCTTACGGTTGCCTATTTCGATGGGAGGAACTTGATCATGGCTCAAGGAAAGGGAGACCTCCAAGTTCATGATACAATTGCAATGTGTACATGCGGTAACTGTCTAGAAAATGAGACCCTGTCCAGCGTTCAGATACCACCCATTCTCCCGGAAAGCAGGCTGTTTTGCACATTTGAACTGCATCAAATTGCCAACAATAGTTGCAAAATTGTTTGGGGATGACATCAGCAACAATTGGTCAAAAAAAATCTGCAGGGGTGCCAAATGGCAAGATGTTTTCATCTGTCCATTGCCTTCCAACAGCGGATAAACCTACTGCCTCAAGCTCAAGGAAGGGACATCGACATGTAATGCACACACGCAGGTTGTTGGTGTCAATCAATTCTCCACCAGACAAATGAATAATATGGTTATAACATGTTATAACCCAATTCCCATAATAAAATGAATGTGCATGTGTGTATCAAAACATGTATCTTTAATATATATATATAATGTACATAGTTTATAAGAACAAATGAATCAACACCTGCCAACCAATTCATTCACACTCTTCAAACCAGTTGCATCAGCTTCTCTGGTTTCTTCTGCTTTGTCGACCTGAGCTGCTGTTTCTGGCTCTTCGGTGGCTGATGCTCTGGGTTCAACTTGCTCCTCACTCATCACGTCAGGGTGCCTCTCTTCTTGTGGTGGCGTTGCATCAGCTTCTCTGGTTTCTTCTGCTTTGTCGACCTGAGTTGCTGTTTCTGGCTCTTCGGTGGCTGATGCTCTGGGTTGAACTTGCTCCTCACTTATCAGGTCAGGCTGCCTCTCTTCTTGTGGTGGCGTTGCATCAGCTTCTCTGGTTTCTTCTGCTTTGTCTACCTGAGCTGCTGTTTCTGGCTCTTCGGTGGCTGATGCTCTGGGTTCAACTTGCTCCTCACTCATCAGGTCAGGCGGCCTCTCTTCTTGTGGTGCCGTTGCATAAGCTTGTCTGCCTTGTTCTGCTCTGTCGACCTGAGCCGCTGTGTCTGGCTCTTCGGTGGCTGATGCTCTGGGTTCAACTTGCTCCTCACTCATCAGGTCAGGCTGCCTCTCTTCTTGTGGTGGCGTTGCATCAGCTTCTCTGGTTTCTTCTGCTTTGTCAACCTGAGCTGCTGTTTCTGGCTCTTCGGTGGCTGATGCTCTGGGTTCAACTTGCTCCTCACTTATCAGGTCAGGCTGCCTCTCTTCTTGTGGTGGCGTTGCATCAGCTTCTCTGGTTTCTTCTGCTTTGTCGACCTGAGCTGCTGTTTCTGGCTCTTCGGTGGCTGATGCTCTGGGTTCAACTTGCTCCTCACTCATCAGGTCAGGCTGCCTCTCTTCTAGTGGTGGCGTTGCATCAGCTTCTCTGGTTTCTTCTGCTTTGTCGACCTGAGCTGCTGTTTCTGGCTCTTCGGTGGCTGATGCTCTGGGTTCAACTTGCTCCTCACTCATCAGGTCAGGCTGTCTCTCTTCTTGTGGTGGCGTTGCATCAGCTTCTCTGGTTTCTTCTGCTTTGTCGACCTGAGTTGCTGTTTCTGGCTGTTCGGTGGCTGATGCTCTGGGTTCAACTTGCTCCTCGCTCATCAGGTCAGGCTGCCTCTCTTCTTGTGGTGGCGTTGCATCAGCTTCTCTGGTTTCTTCTGCTTTGTCACCCTGAGCTGCTGTTTCTGGCTCTTCGGTGGCTGATGCTCTGGGTTCAACTTGCTCCTCACTCATCAGGTCAGGCTGCCTCTCTTTTTGTGGTGGCGTTGCATCAGCTTCTCTGGTTTCTTCTGCTTTGTCGACCTGAGTTGCTGTTTCTGGCTCTTCGGTGGCTGATGCTCTGGGTTCAACTTGCTCCTCACTCATCACGTCAGGGTGCCTCTCTTCTTGTGGTGGCGTTGCATCAGCTTCTCTGGTTTCTTCTGCTTTGTCGACCTGAGTTGCTGTTTCTGGCTCTTCGGTGGCTGATGCTCTGGGTTCAACTTGCTCCTCACTCATCACGTCAGGCTGCCTCTCTTCTTGTGGTGGCGTTGCATCAGCTTCTCTGGTTTCTTCTGCTTTGTCAACCTGAGCTGCTGTTTCTGGCTCTTCGGTGGCTGATGCTCTGGGTTCAACTTGCTCCTCACTTATCAGGTCAGGCTGCCTCTCTTCTTGTGGTGGCGTTGCATCAGCTTCTCTGGTTTCTTCTGCTTTGTCGACCTGAGCTGCTGTTTCTGGCTCTTCGGTGGCTGATGCTCTGGGTTCAACTTGCTCCTCACTCATCAGGTCAGGCTGCCTCTCTTCTAGTGGCGGCGTTGCATCAGCTTCTCTGATTTCTTCTGCTTTGTCACCCTGAGCTACTGTTTCTGGCTGTTGAGTGTCTGATACATATCCAGAATTTGCTTTGGAGTCTGTCGTGCTTCCGAGTTTGAGGGACTTTGATGGTGCGGGGGTTATCATGGTGAGCTCGTCTCCAGAACTCCCGTTTCCTTCCCACATGGACTGAACTCGCAAGTGGTGCACTTGATCGCTGGCCATATGCGAAACCTGGCTCTGCGTGGCTTTAAGTGGAGCCCGGCAAAAGTGACCTAGAAAATGATATTTTGCCATGGCATGCCATGGCATGGGGAAGCGAAATTGCGTTCTTTCGGGTTCCATACTGTTTTCTGATGGTGTCGAGTTGATGTTGACGTTCGTGTGCATCTACCCATTCTTCTCTGGAAACAAGCATCGCAATGGAAATATTGACTTTGGAAGAGCATACTCGCCCAGAATCAGGGGATTGTCTCTGCCAGCTTTGCTTTCCAGAGTATTGATTGGGGCAAGCTATGATACTTCACAAACTTGCAGGAATATCATTTTGGGGTACAGGAGCTTCCAATACTTGCCATCATATTATGGGGCGAGGTCGTTGTTTTTGGACTGTATGTGTTTTGTATATGTGTATAATTTCCACAGATTTAGTTGATAGGTGGTCATCCCATCCTTTCTTGGGAGCTGCATGTTTGGGTATGCCTCAAAAGCCTCAAAAGCTCGGTACCCTGATGAACACCAAAATGCTTGGTAAATGGATGTTGATCCCACAAAAAAGATGCTTGGATTCATGCACCATCGACTCGAAAGTTTTCGGGTGCTATCGCCAGTTTTGAAGGTTCCCCCAACCTTGGTGGTTCCGACAAGGGTAAACTGGGCAGATATATATATATATACATAATTACATATATACATATATATATATATATATACATATACGTTTCCGGTTGGAATCTGGCAAGCCCTAAACATAGATAAACCCCGATGCTGGAAGGTTGAGAAAACCACCCACATGCTGGAATTGGGTTTGGTCTATGTTTTTGGATTAACCACATTCTCTGGATATACCTCAGTCTTGCTGAGTACAATCACCGTGTTTGTTGCTGCATCTCCCATCTAATGGGTTTACCCAAGTTACCTTCTCCAGTTCAAGCCCATTGAACCATTACAATTCCGTTTTACAATTCTGATCCCGTTTAACTTATATGATTATCGCTTACATTTCGATATACATATATATATATATATATATCTATTTAGTTAGTTAGTGTTAGTGTATCTGAATCCCAGTTCACTTCACCATTAATCAACAGTGGATCGCCGATCGACGGCCTTCGACTCCGAGGCCGATTTGAGGCTCGGTGTCGCTGGGGCTTCGCTGCGAAGCTGCAGATGGCGTTGGAGCTGCCCAAATGCAGACGCCTCACGAAAAGTGTGGGGATAAAGCTGGAAAAACAAACCAAAACAGGGGGGAATATTATATATATATACATATAATTGTATATACATAATTGTAAAATATAGAATGTAATCAACTTTGGCCCACTGAAAATTAGGAGTTTACCAACTCAAATTCAGACTTCAGCTGCTGAACTGTGGATGATTTTACAAATTCTTGCGGATATATGGTTGGGGCAACACGAGGACCTTCTCGGGAGACAGGGGAGGGTGACCATTTTAATTGAGCCCAGTACGGTTCAAAAACCAACCTCAAATTGGTCAATCTGGCATTCACCCTCATTCAAATGAGTTTGAATTAAATATCATAGTAATATCTAGTCCCAGCATGTACGGGCAATAGGTGGTTTGGGATACACTCATGATGTAGACCATTTCATTCCCGACGACCAAAAATGGTGAATGGATACGATGTCAGTAGGTTCCAAACCAATGATGTGCATGGAAAAATCTGGAAAGACTGTTTTGGGGCAGGTGATTGGTATTAATTACCATCTATCGTCATTCACACACACAATGGTCATGAAAAATGGGGGGGATTACGTATCACCGTCCTTTTACCAATGAGTAGGAAAGAGAAAATTATGCCTGAGGGACTACTTGGATGAGCATCCCGGGAATAGTCGCTTGAGGTATTCACATTTACCAGAGCCAGAGAAAAAACAGCCCTCCCCCAGTTTAGGGTTTTGTCTAGCATCTCACTGAAACCAAACAACGCCATTGGATTTACTGAAGCACTCTGCAAACAGAAACAAATGGCCGGTTTGTCGGTTTGTCAGAAGCAACAAAAAGTCACTGCAATCTAAACATCAGCCCTTGGCTTTGGTAAATCGGTTTGTCTTCAGCCCAAGAGGGTCCTGCCTGATACAAACCCATCAGCAGCAGGCAGAAACTCATGGCCCAGAGCCACGTGACGCCGCCCGACTTTCGCTGCGAGGGCGTAGGACGTGCTTCGCTGGGCACCGCCGGCCCTGCAGGTGACGCAAGCGCCGTGGATGGCGCGACTCGACCGAGTCGAGTGGAGAGCTCGCTTTGAAGCCTGCTACGGCGACGTTTGGGGCCGCACCAATTGAAAGGTTTCTTAGATTTTAATGGTGGGTTTGCCACATTGTGCCTCTACTGGCTGGATTGGGGATTGGGGATGTATGACGTCAAAATTCGATAGGTCGGGAGACGAGGGATGCAGCCTGATATACCAAATGATAGATATTGGGCAACTGATAAGAGTCCAGAAACTTGGGGTTGAACATCATTCTCACAGATAGAACATGCTTGAAGCAATCTGAGTTACCTATAATCATTGACACCTGAATTGATGCCCATCTCTAGGTGATTTCGCTCCATTTGGGAGACTCCCACGGCCGCCTCCCAAGTTCACAGGCTTGGAGGTCATTCTCTGCCTTTCCAGGCATGGCCAAGGGATTCCACTGGCTTTACCATCCAAAAATCATGATACTCGGGGATATGTATATCTATACACTGTATACATGTGTGTATACATATATATATATATACATACATATACATATATATATATACATATATACATATATACATATATACATATATACATATATACATATATACATATATACATATATACATATATACATATATACATACATACATACATACATACATACATACATACATACATACATACATACATACATTCATTATACACATGTATACATATATACATATATACATATACATATATATATATACATATATACATATATATATATACATATACATATATATATATATATACATATACATATATATATATACGTATACTGTATATACTGTATATATGTATATACTGTATATATATATACACTGTGTATATGTATATACTGTATATATATACTGTGTATATATATAGCTACCTCCATCTCGATCTATCCATCCATTCATCCATCAATCTATGTATCTAACTAATCTGATTTTCTGATCTAATCTAATCTAATCTAATCTGATCTGATCTGATCTGATCTATTTATAATCAATCAATCATCAATCAATCTATCTATCTATCTATCTATCTGAGCCCGAAAATGAGCCCGCACAGGTTTTCCCTTCTGAACCCTCAAAATCAGTGAAATGATTGCAGCCAGAACAGCTACAGCTACAGTCAACCTCACGCGCAGCTCTATATCAACATAGTCTCGCTAGTTTCCACGCCCCACTCAAAGCATGCTGCTGAAAGCGTGGTTTGGGACATGCGTTGGATCTGTGTCACGCCGTACTTCTGCTTCTAGTGGAGAAAAACCTCTAACTATGCCCAACATCCATTGTTGAACAATCTGACAAAAGGCTTGAGACTCCATACTAGAATAATATGGGACAAACATCCAGATCAATAAGATCACCACCTCAACTCCGTCCGACCTTCAACTAATCAACATTCCCCAAACATGGAAATTACAGGGTAATAGTGATGAGTAACATGACCTCAGACTCCAGAGTTCCCCTGCATTCTTGCTAAAGGCACGACTTTCCGAAACGCTTTCCCCAACGGTACAACGTGTTTTTCGCGAAACAGGTACGACTTTGTCAGATGCCTGTATTGTCTATCTAGTTTTAGTGTTCTTTGAATCTTCATTATTGTTGGAAAGCTAAATTCCTACCCTCATTTCTGATCAATTCTGTTGGTTCACCAAAAAAAAGAAACTTCGATGTTTGGTAGCTGCTTCAACCTCCATTTTCCTTGGTGAAACCATGTGAAATCCCCTGTTTCGGTTGCTAAAAAACACCTCTAACTGTTGAGACAACCGCCACAGCTGTCCCATGACCTGCAACTTTGCATTGAGCTTCTCCTGTCAAGGCGCTCCCACAGGTGTCATGATGTGGCATGTACCCTCTGGTAATGACTAACATAGCTATTGAAAATGGCCATAGAAATAGTGGATTTACCCATGAAAAATGGTGATTTTCCATAGCTATGTTAGTTTACCAGAGGGTAATCGTAGTCAATCTGTTCACGGGGTCTGAGAGGGCTGTGATTAGGGTGATGGGAGCAGATGATCCATCTTGATATCTTGATATCTTGGTGATGATTACAACTTGGGACCCTCAAAACTTTGCACAGCACCTGCTCGATGGCTGCTTGATCCATCTGGCTGAGAGCTTGCAGGAGTTGTTCCAACGGACATTTCTCCGCACCAGACATGGCAGACATTCTGGTGTGATGTTGTCTACGTGTTTTTGGTAGGCTAGCTAGCTCAGATTGTCATGATTTTTTGAAAGTGATTACAATGTGTTGTCAAATTTGCGTTCTGCAAATGAATCCAAACTGGTTTGTTTTTTTTCAAAGGTTCGCCATTTTAGACCATCGGTTTTGGCAAATGCGTGAGAGAACAGCAGCTTCCAGTGGCGCAGTGATCATTGTTGGATGGATCTCCGTCCTCCATCTTTAAACACCCATGTCTCACGTGTGTTGACACAATCGATGTGCTAATTGACCTGTGCGGCTGCAGGTGATTTATGAAGTGCATGCCACTGACATAGCTATATTAATACGAGGATACATACACTGATTCCATATATGTTATGTAGATGCATAAAGGGGAATAGATGCATCCCCAACATGAAGTATAATCTATGGGCGACAATCGTATCATCGCCAAAGAATCATCCGGAGACGTCGAACTACACAACCAAATGTCTGCGTGATCTCCGATGAATCATTCCCATAAGCTTCCAGCATTGGCTGGATCTGCATTTGGTGATGATTTTGACCATCTATTTAAGGTAAGTCCTTGGGGCTTGTTTATGGCATTTTGTTTACCACAATTTACCACATTACTCAATAGATGCTGGGCTGAAGTGCCAATGAAAATCCCTAGCCTTGTTGACCTTGCATCTTGTAGCTTCGATCAGTCGCTTCTACTCCTCTCCAGTCACCTATGACTTTATGACTTCACTGGATAATAAATCGTTGAATGACAGTAAATGGGTATGGATCAATACCTATACATACCATTTTTAGGGGGATGAACATCCATTTACCAGCTATTTTGAGGTTCACCAGGGGTACAAGGTTTTGACCCATCCCCAAATGACATGATTCAGTCCCTCTCGTCAGTTGGATATTCAATCCATAGCTGTCGCTGGTGAAGGATCTCGCCATTTCAAACATTCCCTGGCGCCTTCCGCTGCTCGTTCAGATAGCCCAAGCGGTGCAGCCAGTCCGCGACCTCACTTGGACAACTGGAGGGTTGAGCAACCGCTTCGGTTTGAAAGTTTGAAGCAACAAAAATGGAAATATGAAAAGATATGAAAAGACTGGCAAGAAGTGAATCCACTATATCGAAGAAGCACAATTTCTCGATTTGGCTCAGTTGGGCGTTTCAATCATTTCTTGGACCCAAATTTTGACGCACGGAGGGAATCACCAAACCAAAACCAGCATAGTCCCATGGGTGGCTAACCTCAGTGGCTAACCTCAAACAACCCGTAAAAAGAATACAGAATTCACAGAATACGGCCAAAAGATGCAAAACATCAATCAATTCACCAACCGCTTACCCAAGTTTAGCCACGATTTACTAATTACTCTTCTCTTCCCGAACACTGATGCAAGGGGCACCTGCTGATTGCGCAACGTCAATGGAGCACCTGAGACGGCATGGATGTTGGCGACCGGAAACTGCAGTGTAATTCGGTGGATCCTGGTGGATCCCAGATTCCAATGGAAACCGCCAAGCTCAACCACCAACGAATGGCTTTAGATAATGATACTAACAACAAAGTAGTTGAGAGTTACCAGCATTTTCTCACCATCTATATACAGTTGTTTCTTTGGATTACGATGCCATTTCTTCAAAGCAGGGGACCATCATCGTGGTGGATCTGCGATCAGATTGGCTCGTAATTTTGAAAACGATACGATCTCCTGGTTGAAATCCAAATTGTTATCTGCTTAAAATCCTAGTGGAAGCTGGTCAAATCCACATATTCTGGCTAAATCGACTTGTTTTGTTGTGAAATCCACATAATCCACATAATCCACTTTTGTCTGGTTGAAGTCCGCATCTCTGAAATCTGAAAGGATCAAATCCACCACAGACCAGGCAAACTGCAGTCCCGCTCTCAGGGTTGCACCTGCGGCTTTCAAATGGCCCCTGAGACAGCGGTCCGGCGGTAAGTTTTCTGACCCACGGAAATGGGGTTGTTCGAAAAACATTGGAAATTGACCAAGAGAAGTGGGTGTTTGGGTTTCCGACATGGGATATGTTGCCAACACTTGCCAACAATAAAAGGATAGGATACTGTAATCAAGAAACACTGGTATAGACCGGATAGCCCACTGGGTTCACGAAAAACATCGCAAGAACAAGTGTGGAATACGACCTCCAAAACTGCAGTCGACACTGGACTTCAGCACCCAGGAGCAATGAGGAATGGACATAAGATGATCCATGAATCCATGAAGGTTTAGTGGGTTTCAACTCTTGCAACTACGATACATCTGCAAAATTCTATGAAATCACAATCCTGATGGAATGATTATCCCTGCAAAACATAAATTCGTGGGGCCTGGTCCTTGCCAGTCTCAAACAAATCTCTGGTTTTTGTCCGCAACACAAAATGGTCATATAATCAATAGCCCTTGTAAATATATGTCCACAAACTGGGGTTGTCCTGCTTCTGAGAGTGGGTTGTACTCATGTTTCTCAACCGAATACTAAGTGATGAGCACATTATAGCACATGAATTGTTGTTTGAACTCCTTGTTGAAATTCCATCGAAAATGGGGCAGGCGAAGCAGCCAGGATGGTCAGGAGGCCAGGATGGCCTCCGAACCAATTCTTCTAGGCTTTCACGCACGAAATGCTGACAGTTTGACACCTTGCACGAAAAAAAGCGAGTGCTCTGCCCCGGCCCCAAGCATTTGAAAATTCAAAATCACCTCCACACACAATAAGGACCTTCTCAAGGGGTAATCAATATCAACATCCATCAACCCTGTTTAATTCGGGGCTGAAGCGCCAAATACTTGTGGGTTTCAACACTGGGCACAAGGGAAGGGATGCACCCAGGACACTTGGTAGAGGGTATAGGTGTGCATATTATATTGTCATACACTGTGTGTATATGTATATGTATATGTATATGTATATGTATATGTATATGTATATGTATATGTATATGTATAATATATACATATAAATATCATATGAATTCATTCATACACAACCATCAAGAAGGAAATCAAATATCCCCTCGTCCACGGCCAGTCAGCTGCACACATCTCTGGGCGCAACGAAACCTCCTGGGGTTCACTGAAAGATGGTGTGCTCACCTCAGGCCACAACGAGCTGTCACCCCACGAACCGGAAAATCCGCCCTCTAGATATCTCTAGATCCATGTGCAGATGATTTTCCTATTCTTGATCGGTAAGGCCTTCTTAAATGCGATTTCCTCCTGGTTCACCATGGCATTGGAAGACTCTGAGTCGCCCACGGCTGCGTCCCAAACATCCTGGACACCAATCCATTTTGAAGGTCCAAAGTTATGTCCGCAAATCATCAAATGTGGGATTTTCGACCATGAATTGCGTTTTATGTTCATGCATATGTATACATATCTTGGAAGATATATAGAGAGAGAGAGAGAGCGGAGAGCGGAGAGCGGAGAGCGGAGAGCGGAGAGCGGAGAGCGGAGAGCGGAGAGCGGAGAGCGGAGGGAGGGAGACAGAGAGAAAGAGACAGAGAGAAAGAGAAAGAGAAAGAGAGAGAGAGAGAGAGAGAGTGTTACACATATATACACATGTATATCTATACAAATCCGCCCGCACCGAAAGTGCCGAGGCGTGGTAGCGGATGATACGAACGGGTCTGCTCAACTGGTACAACTTTCAGCTGGGGGGGGGGGTCATTTTCAGGATCAACCCCTCGCCAAAAAGTGCACGAGACTACGGTAATTTGCACATTTTACAGATCGTCCCAACCTCGTCCAGATGAACCGTTTCGACCCCACATGTCGGCAACATTGGCTTAACTTACGGTCAACATTGGCCAACAAGGTCCCAACTTGGGCCCAAGATAGCGCAACTTCGGCCCAAGCTGGGCCCACTCGGGCCAATTTGCGGACTCAATACGACACGATTTCCACCGTGCTTTCGCTTTCATGATTTTCATGGGGGTTCGTGCGAGGCCATGTTCCCCAAATTGGGCCTGTCTTGGCCAGATGCCCCTACACAGGACCAAGTTGCGCATGTTAAGCCATGTTGGTTTCCAGTTGGGCTCAAGTTGGGTCCAAGTTGGAGCCAACTGGCCGGAGTCGGCCCAACTTATGGCCAAGGACGCCCAAGTTTGACCCCAGCCTGCTTGATTGGGCCAAGTAGGCCCGTTTCTTTCCTCTCTGTCCTATTCCCTGGGCGCAAGCGGTATTCGTCGCGAAGCGACTTGAATACACAGCTATTTGATCCTGGCAGTTCAAAGAGTCCATGTTTGGATCATCGGCGACCATTTAAATTCAGGGCTGTGAACCACCCGAAAGGCCAACCACGAGACCTCCACCTGCGCTTGAATCCCGAGTCATGGTGGCCAGATCATGTTGTAGGACCTAGATACTTTTAGGCGCCAATAAAAACGGGGTGAAAGAAACAATGATGGCCTAAGATGTATTTCCCTATTTGGGATGATTTAAATAGCCCCAGATGGTTGACAATCAGGGCTGGTTTGTAGCATTGCAGATAGCTCATCCCAACATGCAGAACTATCCCAACAATCATAACAATATCCCTTGCCAATAGTCTAGATTCGTATGACGCACCGCGGCAATTCAAATATCTTAAAACTTTGGCATCCCATGATATCTGTGTAATTCATTGATCTAAATTCAGGCCATTTTGGGGTAGTTACCCCTACTAACGATCATTCCAGCGACCTTGCAGTGAGGCTGTTCTAATTTAAAATAGATCTATACATCTGATATCTCAATATCACCTGGACAAGTATCTATAACGAATATCTGTTCATTCTATTTCATTGCATTCTTCCAACAATACTTGATATAACAGTTCAATAAGAACCATCCCAATCCTCACAATATATTGAGATATAATATTGATTGGGGTAATCCGCTATAATGCCATTCTATTGCCCAAAATACATTATCTGGATGAATATCTTCAATCAAGGTTACATTGTCCCCAGGTGTGACCTATCCCAAACTGCCATATTGTTGGATACACGGTCAATCCTTGGCATCCAAGGCTGGGGATGGATGGAAAGTTGGGGGATTGATACCCCATTAGTGATGGCGATAATGATATCATTAGTGATTTTTCACTACCCATCAGTGATTAATGATAGTTGGGGTATCATTAGTATATTGAAAGTTGGGGGATTGATAATCACTGATGATTATAAATACCCTACTCATTTGGGTGTGTCTGAAAATGTTGGGAAAACCCCTTTTTACCCAATGGTTTTGCTGATCATTATCCCGTTTTTAAATGGCTATTTCATTGGGAATATACCCTATTTTCAGACAAACCCATTTTCCAATTATCAGTGATTTGTTGGATTATTGAAATATTATTCACACTGTAGACCCCATTAGTATATTGATAATTTTATCCCACTTGTTCAATCCCGAATTTTGGATCGCCATTCTATCGCTTCGATCCTGCAGGGAGGTGCCCTCCACAGCATCGAAGCCATGCTGCTCCCGGGGCGCCTTGACCAATTTGCTGGGGGAGTTCAACAAGTGTGGGGATATCAACAAGCGTGGAGATATAGACTCTTTATATATATATATATATATGTTGGTAGCGGGCCGCACACCCCGAGCGGCCTTTTCGCTCCACATGGGCCAAAAGTCCCTGCGACATGTTCCACCCTTCGGCCTGGCTCTGATCTTACACTCCCAAAACTTTGAAAAACTTTGTTCGCATCCTTATGCAAACTTTCGGGTCACCGATGTGCCCGGAATCTTGGCACCTTCATCGGCGTCCACGCCGGCAGCTTTCATATACAAAACTAGATCCCGCAATTTGGCGGAACCTGAGCTGAAATGAGCAAACAGGTAAGAACGATAGCTACGGATCTCTTCTGAGTGACCAAAAGCAATTTCTCGGTACACCTTGCGATTTTCAAACTTTCCGAACGGCACCAGGCATCTTCCCCAGTGTTCCACTGACACAATGCCGGGTGGTAATTCTTCGTCTTCAGGACTAGGCATCATCATCGACACAGGAGATCCACTCTTTGGCATGGGATTGGAAGACATGCCTGAGCCACCAGAATAGCCGCTAGAGTATGGCACCACGACTTCGCGAGGCGGCTCTTCCTCACAACGGCGCTTGGAGGCATCTGTCATCGATGAAACAACCAATCCAGTCTCAGACGAAGTGCTTTGTTCCAAAGCCTGAACACGCTCCATAACAGCTGGAAAGGCTCCATGCTGGCGAGCCTTATGCACAAGATTCACACAAACGTTGAAATCTTCCACTGTCCAAGTGGGAGAACTGGGATGCAACTGCTTCGGGAATGCTTGCACGGTCATGCTTGCAAACTTAAGCAAATTAGATGTGCCCTGTTTTGCACACTTCTGAGTCAGGTTCTGGCTGCGGATGGCCAGCACGTATATTGCTCACAATATTCTGCAGAAAAACATACGGCTTCAGTATACCTGTACCTCTTATGCAAACCTATGGCAACATCACAAAACGGCAAAAACTTGATTTTTGATCGGGATGTACATGTCCATGACTGCAGGCGACTATACATGCCACATGTCTCTTTCTTGCAACTTGAGATTATTTGTAGAACTACTTCGGCTGATTAAAACTGTTGGATGACATCACTTCTTCCGGACAACTCTTGGCGGGCTTGGGCTGTTTTTGCATGAACTTACGACGTCGGTCACGTTCCTTGGCTCTAAGCTCAAGCACACTTGCTTCCGGACTGATTTGATATTGGTGAGTCCGAATGCATCCACGCAGCAAATCAAACGCATCGGGGTTTTCTTTTGTTAAGGCATCGGCCAACATTCTATCCGTGGGGATCCAACGTACCACAGCTTGCAGCCTATTTACACTATCCCTTAGAATAATGATATCGATGGCAGTTCTTCTATCCTCAAGTGTGGGGGACGATTTGGAAATCAAGTGATCGAACAAGGACTTACGATCGGTAACGATAAGAACCTTACGACTTGAGATTTGATTCCAATAGCTATGGGGATATCGCTTACCTTCAAGGGCTTCAGCAAGGATTAAAGATACCCATTCACACATGCTCATGGCGCTTGACATGCTTTGGGCTTCAGCGCTCAAAGTTGAGTTCACTACTCGGGGCAAACGATGGCTTCTCCAAAACGCAGGTGACCACTGACACATCTTACCCTCATTGATTGCTTGATCAGTGAAGCTAATAATGAAGCCAGCCTGTGTAGCCCCTGCCTTAGCATTTCCAAAGGCAGCATCGGAGTGACACATGATTGCCAAGCGATCTGGTCTGATCGGACAAAATGTGACCGTTTGGTCTGCATGCTGTTTGGCACGGCGAATTGCTTGATTGACAGCGATCGCATCGGACACTGTCGGGGCTGGAAATGACTGCTGAGAGAATGACACTTGTGTTGCCAAGTCTGGTCGCGATTGAGTACCCAACCAATTCAAACTACCATTGATTGCTCTGAGGCAGCTCACCTCTTTATCCGTCAACAAACTTTCTTTTTCACATTGTCTTTGTTTAGATAAGTGCATAGGACGGATCTTTTGAATGAACTTCTCTTGAGACATTTGTATGGTAAAGTTGACAGGGTCTTGGATATATGACGAGCCACAAAAATCACCATTGCCTTCTCGCCATTTCCTGAACTCAAAAGACTTGCGCAAATGTGCCAAAGCTGCTTCATACTCAGGACCTTGTCCTCCAGTGGCGCAGTCATCAACATGGATACCATATACACCAGACAACTGTTGATTCTTGTCTCGCATGTAGAACAAGCAACAATCAAAACGTGACTGTTCAAACCCAGATTCCAACAACACTTGTTTGAGGCGTTCAAACCAAGCACATGGTGAGTCATTCAAACCATAGACATGACCTAACACTTCTATCAACGCGTCATCTGGTATACCTGGGATTCCACCTGCTGGAAGTCTGGCATATAGAGGCTTGTATTGTTTGGGAAGTTCTCCAGCGGACAAAAAGGCTCCCTTGACATCTCCCAACAACATTTTCCAACGATGGCTTGCTATCAGTTGAAAAACCAAGTTACGGCCAACCTGGGACAAAGTTGGAGATTGCAAATCACCAGCGGCAATTTTCTTCGTCAGGTCGGGATCCAAATGCCCCTGGAGGCACCACCTTGCCTTGACTCGCGGGGCAGTGTCATCTTCTTGTTTTATTGTCATCACAAATCTACTGCCCATGATTCTATGAGAGAAACGTCTACGCACCTGATCGGCCTCAGGGCCCTGTACCACTCGTGCAGCATGCTTACTGAGAATCGTGTTCCATTCCAGTGTTTTTGCTTCATCAACCTTCGCTTGAACTTCAGGAGGATTCTTAGTAACAGGAATTTCCTTAGCTGCTTTCTTAGCCATATATTGTGACAACAAGGCTTCTACAGGAACTTTCTCTTGCCACTGCTTCCACAGCAATTGACGTTCTTGACTGGTCAGTGTAGATTGATGAGATGCCGCAAATTGTTGACATTGATTTGTAACGGCCAACACCTCTACTTCATCAGTCAAACAAGTCTCACATGCTGCATATAGTTGTTCTTGGGTGCGAGCACTCTTGGCTGGCGTTTCCTCTGGAAACCGAGAGGTCTCTACATCACGTTTGACTCCTCGTTCAGCAGGCTCTGACATGACAGTATCGTCAGGTGACGATGGTACATCCAAAACTGGTGATGACACTCCATGCAATGCGTCTCCAACCAGCTGAGGAACTATCTCTTGCATCATTTCAGCAAAATCTTCTTGCACCATCCTACCGGGACGATAGAAACTGGCAGCTACTGACTTTCCATGCACGCGCCTACGGACTGGGCCATAGCTGGACTCTTCCTCGGTTGAGGGACTTGCATTGCTAGGTTCACCAGTGGTGTCAGCAGCACTTCCGGAATGGACAGCATTGGGATTCATTTCCTCTGGCAAAGGTGTTCCAGGACTGTAAGGTTCATCAGAGATCATCGGTGCTACTTCACCCTCTTGACCCAGTTCCATGGCTGATCTAGGCCCAATTGGCAGGGGAGGCGGCAGCTGTTGTGCCGGCGGCTCGCTTGGAGTGTCACTTCCTCCAGGGTACGACTCTGGCACCAAGTCAACATACTGTTTACTTGACATATTACCTTGGTCGATCATGGCTTTGATTCCAAGCAATTCTTGATTGGGCATCTCAACCAACTGTTTTTCTGACTCTGTAGATGGACGGACTTGTTCGGGTGCACATCGAAATATTGATCGTTTATGTAAAATAACCAAATTCCTTCCAACACTTCCCAACACGATTGCTGGGCCATGCCATCTACCCTGATTGTCCAAAACCCCTTTTTGCCACTTTTGACTACGCCAGTATGCCACATACATTCCTGGGGAGTAATGCATTGCTGGTCGGTTCCTGGACGCAAGAGCAAGACGCAAGGATCGGTCATCCTGCAGTTCTATGATTGCTTTTCTGGCTGACTGTCTTACCGCTACCTGCTTAGCTACTTGTTCCTCATACAGTGAGGCAGTGGCTGGAATCAATTCCAACGGCTCATCAAGCAGGTTCTCAGGGATTGCAGGGTTCTTACCAAACACATGTTGAGCTGGGGTCATGCCATACACCTGGATTAACTGATTTTTACAATGAGCTGCATTTACACAATCAGTCCATTCCTTTTGGTTTTCTGGGTTGCGGTCATTCAGAATTTTGTCCAAGATACGGTTAAACCAACCCCCATGAACCTCAACTTTCCCCAACTGCCAGTGAGCGTCAGCAGCAGTGACTTGAACTGCAGCACCTTGTAACTCCAGCGGAACCGTCAGACCATCAACAATGTTTGGTCGGGCTGGATCAACTATGATTTCTTTTGGCATTCCCGCCCAGGACACCCATCGTTCCATAAAAGTCTTCCCAATAAGTTCAGAGGTTTCTCGTTGATATAGTGGCACCATCAGTTGCAGGCTACTACCATAATCCACGATGTTCAGGGCAGGAATCTTTTGGTTGGTCTTCCAGCCTGTGAGATACTTTACATCCAATCCAACCTTTGCGTTGAATTCTGTGACTCTTTGAGTCTGGGTCGGCAGAGCAGGCTTTGGGGCTGCTTGTGATCGGCAATGTTCACAGTCAAAACTTCGAGCTAACTGAATGGCCTGGTCGGATGCACCACCATGTTTCAATATGCGAACCATCTGGTTGTTTGGCGGATGCCCCAAATTGGTATGCAGTTTTCGGAGGCTTGTTTGAAGTTTTTCAGCATCATCTCCAGACAACTCGGCGACTCGAGACGCAGCAAGACATTCGGCTGAATCGTCGTGTTCGACGACATGAACTGGTTTACCATACCCCGAAAACGAGACTCTCAGGACGGCTTTCACAAAAGCAACCGGGTACCTACTGGCAAACTTGCTTACTGACCCTACGGCGGGATGATTACCAGCAATGACACAATGATTAACATGGTCGGGGTGCTGGCTACCAGGACACGTCTTGGCCAAGCATTTCGTGTCGGCA